TGGCTGTTCCTCACCCAGTTTTAAGCCTCGTACACAGCTGTTTCTGTTTCAGTTAATGACTCTTTCAACCTACATATGAAATTGATGATCATTAGCACCTGCTTGGTATAATTGGTTACAAAGTGTACAAAGTGTGCAAGTGTAAGAATTGATGCTGGTTTGAAGCCAAAGGGTAGTCACACCAAATATTTGTTTCTGTTTCAGTTAATGACTCTTTCAACCTACATATGAAATTGATGATCATTAGCACCTGCTTGGTATAATTGGTTACAAAGTGTACAAAGTGTGCAAGTGTAAGAATTGATGCTGGTTTGACGCCAAAGGATAGTCACACCAAATATTGATTTTAGATTTTGCTTCTGTTCACTCACTTTGCATTTTATAAATTGATAAACATAAACAATTACAATATATATTTTTGAAAGCATTCTTACTTTACAGCATTTTTTCACACCTGCCTAAAACCTTTGCACAGTACTGTATATGTGGATATATTTCTATGTGTGTGCATTTCTGTGTGTTCTGTGGCTAAGCAGGTAGGCAGAGAGAGAGAGAGAGAGAGAACGCACAAACCATGGTATGTGGGTTCACTGTCAGACACACAACCCACACAAAAGCACATTTTTGACTTGGTATTACGTACTCAGTGGTACATAAGCAAGAGAAGTCTAACATACTATTTTGTAAACATTTGAAAAGTGCAGTGGCATTTGCTTGCCTGACATGAACGATGTACATGTGTCATGACTCATTATCACAGAGATGTTTGCATCATAGAAATGTTTGGTAATCTATAAACAGATTGAGGTCATGTTGTTTATCACAGGCAATAAGAAGGTTAAAAACAGTAAACCACAAGACAAAAACAAATGACTAAATAGAATTAAAACAAAAACCGTACAAGCAACATAAACCTACGCATCAGGGAAATAACCAAACCTGAAACCCATTGTGGCTGTTCTGGAGTAAAAATGCTGACTGCAGTTCCTCGTGCCCTTGTCACCTCACAAGTGGACTACTTTAACACACACTACATGGGGCTGCCCTTGAAGATCTCCCACAATCTGTGATTAGTGCAAAATGCAGTGGCCTGCATGTTGAGCAGGGCAACCCAGTATTCCATGTAACACCCATATTACAGGAGCTGCCTCGGTGACTGGTTTGTTTCAGGTTGCAAATGAAGGTGCTGGTGATAACCGTTAAAGTTTGCATGACTTAGGGCCTGGGTGTCCCTGAGCTTGTGTGCCCCAAAAGAAAGTAGAGAGTGCTTGCTGAAAAATGCAGCAAGGCAGCCATTCTCTACAGAATTCCCCTCCTATGGAATGCCCTCCCATCGGAGATAAGGACCATGTCCTCACTTTTAATAATCAGGATATATTGAAAAGCATGGGTGGAATGGGTACCTCTGTAAGGGATGAATCTTTGTGTTTTCTGATATGCGGTGCCATGGTTTTTATGATTAAGAATACAATAATGGTTCATGGCATTTATATTTGATATATATTTTTATTAACATATTGTTATATATTTGTTGCTAAGCACCTGGCGGTAAGGTGCTTAGAAGCTATTGACCGAAGCGGCATAAAAGTGCTTTAAATAAATAAATAACTAAATAAGTACCTTTAGTCAAACAAATTTGCTCCCAAGGCCTTCCAGAAGAGCCAACCTTTAATGGCTTTTTGAAAAAAATCACCGTTTCCTGCCCGAATTATAGAGAAATCCCAGTTTAGTTGCAGGCGCATTGTTTCATATTGCATAACATTTATTTCACAAAGATGGTTGATAACCATGGGAACTATATGTTAACGAAGCACAACAGCAGACTTGAAAATATTCCAAAATTCAACAGTTTGAGTTGTTTCCTTTAAAAGGATTGCTGAAATAGTTCCCTTAAGATATCTGTGCTAAATCTTTCATGCTTTTCCCAAGCCTTTGATTATGTAACAATGGAATATACATCTATTATTGGTGTCTTGGGTTGAGTCTCAACATGCTGTGTTGGAAGCTGGCAGATAGTTATTCTCATGTAGAACTTTGGCTTCAACAGAAGACAGGATTAAAATAGGGGAGAACTAGGCAATGCAGGCCAGCTGTGTGACCTGTAGGAGAAGTGCTTTCCTCATTGATTGATGACTCATTGGAAAGTCATACCGTTCAAGAAATAGTGGAGTCCTTTTAGTGAGTACCACAGCTATTGATTGTGAAGGAAATGGATTAGTTGCTTCATGGTCTTATAAAAAATATATAGGCTGGGCCCTGGGAAACCTTTTGCACTTCCATGAATAGTATCCATTTCTCTTTCAGGACAGTGTCATAGTTGGCCTTTTGAGAACATTAAAAAAGCAACCCTAACTAAAGTAATGCATTTGGAGCAGAGCTTGCAGAACTGAATAACTCTTTCCATGTAATAGTGTAGCAAAACCAGGATGTTCTTGAGACCTCATTTATCTGTAGTCTTGATTTTGGGTAATCAAATATTCTGCCTTGCAAATATCACTTTTCCCCTTTTCTTGCTGTTTATAAAAAGGTGATCAATTTTTCCTTCTTGATGTTTTCCCAACAGTGTTTTCGAGCTCTTTGCTGCAAAGGACCTCCACCACCAAGACCAGAATATGATTTGGTTTGCATAGGTCTCAGTGGCTCTGGCAAGACAAGCCTGTTGTCCCAGCTCTGCAGTGAAAATAGAGAAAATATAGTGTCAACCACAGGTGAACCAATGTTCTGTTTTGCTTCTTCAATTCTAGGCTTATATCAAAATTTTGGCAAAGTTGTTTGTTTCTTTTGTTTTTAAATGATGCTGAAATTCTTTTATTTCAGTAAATTACTAGTCTTAGGATTTGTCAGTTAAGTATCATTTCAGCTGCAGCTTGGCTTCTTCTATAACATACAGAATTAATAAATCAGATACAAAACTGACATAGTCAAATTCAAGAAACTGAAATTAATGGGATCACCTTATGTACCTTTTAAGAATGTGGCTTAATAAAATCTGACTAAAAATTTATCTAAGCTCATTCATATTTGATATTGAAGGCTGTTGCTGCAGTTCAAACTAGACACGGCATGAGCATTTTTAGATTGGAATTTCTGCCATTTTTGCTTTATGAGAAAGCAGCATGTCCACATGGACATAATTTAACCCCTTGTCCCTTTTCTGTGACCCATCCCACAAAGCTGTTTTTAAAATGATGTATTTCACTTCTGCATCTAATTGTAAGTTTATGAGAGTGACATATGTTGGCTTCCATTACTGGCTAAAAAGTACCCCCATGGCCATTTTGATCCCAACAACATGAACAGACTGCTGCTTTTTCAAATAGTTATGGCTGGAGTTCAGGATGGAGTTTTATCTGTCTTGCTTGAACCTGAGATAAATCTAATAAAGGAATTAAAGTTAATTAGTTGCTATTATTATACTTTCTTTCTTACATTAAGTTTTAAGAACATTTTTGTTGAATCCTGCAAGGGCTTAAAATGTATCAGGGTAAACAAGGGAAAGAGGTGTTAGCCCTATAAGGTAGACCAGACCAAGAAATCAATGCCATATAGGAACAACTATAGTGACAGAATTGTGCAAATCTGAATGTGCTTACCCCCACTTTATCTTTATGTGAATTAGGGAGAGGCTTATTTGAGATGTTTTCTCAAGTTGGTTTCTTGGAAAAAACTCAAACCTTGCTTGTCTGATGGTTGCCTTGGTAGCAGCTCTTTCTCCTGTCCTTCAAGGTGATTCCCTATGCCCTCTACAAGAGGAGACTGTTCAGACTGCTGCAGTCTAGGTCCTGATATCATGGGAGAGATATGAGAGAAAAAGTTACAACAGTCTTCCTAGTCACAGGGCACACATTATCTTAGGGCTCTTCCCACGTTTGGTTGCCTCATCTCCTGAAGCTATTGTTGAATGCCAGATCAGTCTGCAGGAAAATACCTTATATCCATGATCTCATTATTTAGGAACTAATCTACCCAGAAACTTGGGTGAGAAATTGATTTAACCCAGATTTAATCCAGCTATAACCACCAGACTGTGTTGTATGGCATCAAGGTGGATGGGTGGGATAGGGGTGGGGTTGTAGTCATCCCTAGGGATTCTACTTTCCTCACTAGGAACCCATCACTTGGCAATCTGGATATGGGGACCTGTATTTTGTGTTCAGAGGGCAGATGCGGGGTGCTAAGGTGTACTGTTCACCTTGTTGTCCAACAGCTGCCTGGGCTGAGCAAAAGGAAGGTGATGAGCAAATGATAAGGGCTTTATGACAACTATGGATTTGTCTTGATACAACAGAAACCTGACATAAACTGTAGGCCAGATGCTTGATTTAGTTTTGCTTCTGAACAGTGAACCAGTGGTCAGAGGGATCTACGTTACTCACTTATCATGGACATATCACTTTCTGTTGACTACCTCTTCCCTTTGCATGACGGAGGGAATGGGCCACTCTAAAGACTTATGGAATTGGAGTGATTCTTGAATGCTTTTGGGATTTGCTGATGGATGGCAAAGTGTGATTAGGGCTCCTACTGAAGCTTTAGCTTTGTTATGGAATAGTGAGATGGCTTGGCAGTTTATAGGAACTGAGTAGAGTGCCCTCTCTACTCTCGTAGAACTCGTAGGCCTCCTTGGTTTATAGAGGAGTAGAAAGTAATGAGATGGACTGAGAGATAGCTAGAATGAAGATGAAGCAAGACTCAATTTAGATATGATAAGCACTGGTGAAAATATACTGTTGCGCCCCCTGTAGTGGCAGCCATGGAAACAAAGAGGTTTTGTTTTGTTTTGTTTTGTTTTGTTTTGTTTTGTTTTGTTTTGTTTTGCCTCCACTGTTGCTTCCCCAGTGCTTCCCCAGTGAGCTACTCAGTAGAGCCTTTCTGGGCACTTAGGGAACAGACCACTATTGATGTGATAGATTAATCAGGTCCCAGCTTTCTGGGCCTGGAGGAATTATCAAGCTAGTGATGTGTCTCTAATACTCCCTTTGGGGCAAGTTTATTGATGGGGTAGTAGGTAGACAACTATAGTAAGGGCTGGATGAAACTGATTTTCTGAATCTGTCACGGTTCAGTTTTAGGGAAGCTTTTGGTGGAGGAATTGCCTGGGTTGCCCTGGTAGTTGACCTTTTATGAGAAAGGTTGGGGGACTTTTAACGCTATGGACCTCAGTATTTTACTGGGCTGACTCCATGAGATGCGAATAGGAAGCACTGATTCCAATCATACGTGCAGGGCTATTCCCAAAAAATTATGTTGGGGGGGTGTGAGTGGGCTTCTGTTCAGCATGGCAGTCATGCTGAGGGGGTCCACAGTATCCAGACCTATCCCTCATTCTTCTGGGAGAGAGCTCTTCTGAAGGTTTGGAGTCAGACGTCATCAAATACAGATGGAGTCCAACTCTAGATCTCATTTTCATCTGAGCCAAGAGAGGCAATAGAACTGCTGGATCAGTGCTTACAGGCTGTAACAGATGGAGGAGACCTAATAAAATGAGGATGAATCCTGGGAAGATAGAAACTCTCTGGCTAAATAGTACTGAAATTCAGAAATTGGTCTTAACACTGGTACTGAATGTGATGGTACTCCCTCTCTAAGAACAAATATGGGAGTGCCTTTGGCTGCAGTTTATCACTTGTAGCCCATGTGTCCTCAGTGACTAGGAGCATCTGTGGACAGGTTTGGCAGCCATTTCTAGGTGGAGATTGCCTGACCTTAGTAGTTCATCTGGTAGCAACTTCTTGCTTTTATTATGGTCAAAAACTCTATGTGAGATGTATCACAAGAGCTTCAGAGGTTCGTGGGATATGATCCAAGACATAGCACTCAAGATATATCTTGTGAATTCTCTCTGTCTCTCTTAATACAGCAAACCAAAGCAAGTTTCATTTTTCAAGCAGTGTTTCTGTACAGCAGCTTAGCTAAGTAATCTAAATTCCTTTCTCACTGCTTTCCTGTCTTTTTTACTAATAGGTTGCAATATAAAATAAACAATAACGGAAATATGTAGTGAATTTACTTCTCTATTAAAACTAAACTAAAACTTCCCTCTTCAAAGTCTAGAGCAATATTTCTCAACCTTGGGAACTTTAACATGTTTGGGCTTCTACTCTCTCAAAACCTCCCCCCCGAATGGGGTGTCTTGGAATTTAAAGACTCAAAAGTTTTAAATTCCACGGGTGGAGAAATATTG